TCTTGTATCTTGTATTTTAGCTCCAGAATCTTTGTATCTCGTTCGTCTGTGAAGATTTGTTTCTACTGTTTGTACACGTGGTCGTTTTTGAATGTGTCATGGTGCACTTTGAGCTTTTTACGCACGTTTTTCCAGTGTGGTTTTTAACTGCAAACGGGAAATAAAGTATCTAACTATTACCTTGGTCCAAGTCTAAGTCTATAGTATTTTAATGAACAAATTTTTGCATCTACAGACCCAAATATTCACTTGGTAATTCATTAAAGTCGATATATTGGTTTGAAACTAATGTAGATTGTTTGGTTTTGACGGTTCGTGGTGTATTTAGCTTTAATTCAGTATTAATAAAACACTTATTAACGATTATTAAGACGATTTCAAACGCCTCTCGTGCTAATAACGCTAATGAGGAGCTTTAATGGCACGAAAATGGTTATACTTGTAAAATATGATCTTAGACAAAACGCGCGTTATAAACACCAACAGAGACGTAATTACGCACTTACGTTTTACTGTGAGTGAGGCGTTCAGACGTGGTCCCTAAACTGAAACACTGAAACACTGCCTCCAAAGAGCGTTCCTATTCATTTTCACGTGTTACTCTTACGTAAGCAATAGACAATGCTTTTATTTAACTAGAATAAGGTTTTAGTGTTTCAGAGATCCGTGTTTTACGATTTACTGGTTTTGCGTTTTATATAATTTTAGCAAAACATTGTGAAGCTAAACTGAGTGAAACTTGTTCTACTTTTTTGTTTTTCTCTAATCAAATGTGTGTATTACTTAACAAAATAAAGTGTGATCTGTAAGTGGATGGATGGATTCTCAAATAGCCTCACAGCAAAAACTGGAGGGTTAAAATTACAGAGTTGTTTTTTAACATAAAAAGTGTTATTTTTAACTATTTGAAAGTTAAATGGGGATTTGAGTTGGAGTTATTTGCCAGAGTTGATATGGCTGAATTTAGTTTTACTTCCCTTAGTGTTAATTCAACATCCCCTAGTGTTAATTCAACTTCCCTTTGTGTTAATTCAACTTCTATTGTTAATCCAACTTCCCTTAGTGTTAATTCAACATCCTTTAGTGTTAATTCAACTTCTACTAGGGTTAATTCAACTTCTCTTATGTTAATTCAACTTCTCTTTGTGTTAATTCAAGTTCTATTGTTAATTCAACATCTACTAGTGTTAATTCAATTTAGCTTAGTGTTAATTCAACTTCCCTTGGTATTAGTGTTAATTCAATTTCCACTAGTGTTAATTCAACTTCTACTAGTGTTAATCCAACTTCCCTTAGTGTTAATTCAACTTCCCTTAGTGTTAATTTGACTCCTCCCACCCACCATTTCAAACTCCTGCGAGAGAAGACCAGTTTGAACCAGTTTTGTTCATAATTTCATCTTAAATTAACTCAGATAAAGTGTAAAAACAAAACACCTCAGGATAACTCTACTAAGTGTTTTCCGTTTACTCTCAAAACGTAAATATAACTCTTGATTTCGGAACTTTGGTGCAGTGTAACTTAATTAACATGTCCAAAAAAATGTTAAATTAACTCTAGAACAGATTGGACTCGTATAACACAGAGAAAATGTTCAAACTGATTCTGTGAGAGTTAATTTTAACACTCCCCTTCGCGTTCACGAACCCAAATCACGCACGTAACACTGGAAAAAACAGTGTACAACCCCGCTCGGAGTGAACCCTGTTGTGGTCGCCTCCAGTGTTAATGATTGTCCCGCTGTGTGACTGTCACGCTGTTTGTGAAGAGGCCCGAGTCAAGTCCATTGTGTGCGCGCGCTCGCTTTTCTATGCCGTGTACGTACGTGCGCGCGTCCGAGCCGGCTCCTTCATTGTCGCGAGACGGACAACATCTGGACTGCCCACGTGAACGCGCATCGAGCATCTACTAGTAACAGAGCTGCGTGTATGTGCGTGTGTGTGTGTGTGTGCGCGCGCAGCTGGACGTAAAGTAAACCAATAGAGTCTTTTTTAAACAAGCACTCCGAACTGACGCGGGATGGTCACGCTATTGCACGTTCAACCGCGATGTTTGGAGCAGGGTTTGAGTTTTGATTCAGAATTACAGCTTCTAACCTCGGTACAGCCCGTGTTTGATCCTTTGCTATGGGAACAGTAGTCGATTTTCGTTTCGCCATTCACGCGTGCCATGCGGTAAGCCCGTAGTTGAGCCCACAGGATACGATTTGGTTGCAGAATTTGTTTAAACACTGTCTACTTATCCCGGGTTAAACCGTGACATCCTCAGAAATGACTCTCCACTCGGGCTCGTTCAGCTGAAATTATGATTTATCTTGTTTATTTTTGGCTTCGTTTCGTAGCAACTTGGCGTAAAACCATCCAGCTTTTCGAAAAAAATGGATTTATTCAGCGTCATTACGCGTTTTTGATTCATTATTCGACTATTAATTTAGGCCTTTACACGGCTTTTTTGCATCCGTGGGTCCAGAACAATGAAAAACATGTTTCCATAGTAATAAACAATTTAAAACAAAATGGTATGTCTTCTAAATGATAAAAAAATCCTCAAAATGTTGCTTATAAGCGGACCCTAAAACACACAAATCTCACAAAGACGTTTATCTTTACGCACAGCTCATTCATACAGTATTTTTGGTTATAGTGTTAATTAAAAATAAATGCATTCCTATTTCTTCTGTTTTAGATTTCGACATTTTTGTAAACGGTTAATATTTCGCAATCGTGGAAAAAAAGGTCACCCTCAAACGCGGCGAGTCTTTGATGCTGTTCGATTCTGACACGCAGGACACGGTTCTGTTACTGTAAGCGGTGAGTAAGGATTACATGTGCGCTGGGTTCTGTCCAAACCAGAGCGCGGGACACGTTTTACGCAGCGCCTGGAGACATTTCTCCATCATAATTCACACCTCACACGGCTGCGTCATACACGAGCTATCAGGAGCACGTAGCATCACAAAGAGCCAATACTTTATCAGTTTTACCAGTTAACGCACGAGAATGATTTGAGTTACGCTTTCTGTGTTTTTGAGACTTTTACGCACACAATATTCTAATTATCCTTAATATTTAACACTATGATTCAGTGTGTGCTAACGATTTATGGCCATGTCTGAGTTCTGCGTTCTCATACTTTTTGGTAACACTCAATTTACGCACAAAAATCTCCACTGTGCCAAATTAAAAGTACATTTTAATTCATATAAATATTCGCCTTCGAAGAAAAAAATTAAATCGTCTTTCCAGTTTGACCCGTTCATTTCAAATGTACTTCTACATTCTATTCAAACTGTAAAAAGCTTATTATAATTCTATAATTCTGTACATTATAGGGTCCATAGGTATAATCCATGCGTAAACATGGGCTGTTTTAATTGTTCCTATTATTTGGAGATCCTTTGCGACCTTTACGCACGATTCTTTTATGGTACATACTATGTAGACGCAGCGACGTGTGTTTTGAAGCTGTCAGATAATATTTAATTCAACAAATAATAACAATGATAGCTTTAAGCTCCAGCAATTTTACATTTTAATAGGAAAATATTGAATTTTTTAGTAATTCATTTGATTAAACGTATTTTTCTAAACGAAAAGGCCACATGTTTTATCCAGATTTACACCCAGGCCAGAGCAGGGCCAGTTAATTCTGTGGTATTGAAAAAGCTGAGGTGATTTTGCTTAAAGAAAAGGGGCTGTATAGTGCGTGCGCTCGTAAACAGCAGCAGCAGACCAGACAGACCCGGGACATGTCTATCCTGTCCTCTTTTTCCAAATCTTCTTCACACCTCAGCGCCAAAAAACACCTCTTGGAGATGTGCAAATAAAACGGACACAACACCAACGTTTCCCCTTTTCTGTCGGTTCTGCTTTAAAACCACCCAGAGTGCCGGGCGCAGAAGCTTCTAGTGAGAATCCACACGGAGAGAAACAAAAAATGAACGTAAAAGTTAATGCCCTGCGTGGCTTTCATTGGGGCAGGAATTCTCACCCTCCTTCCGCTCCTTTCAGCCGCGCAGACGCTCCTTCAAAGGCTCAATAGCCCCTCGGCCGGCGTGGCGAGACAGCAACTTTCAACTTGACCTTGGCCTCCAGTCTCCAGCCGTGTGTGCGTCCTGTGTCAGAGCCGGAGCAGGCAGGCGCGCACCGCGGGGAGGGGGACAGGCAGGCGGCCGGGAGCGCGCGCTCTTTGCATAAGGCAAATGTGAGGAAGTGGACCGGAGGCCTTATGAATCATTTGCCTTCATAAAGAACATTGAACATGATTTTCATCCCGCCTACACCCGGGCCTTTTACATAATCACTTTTACTGGGGAACAAGTGTCCCAAATAGTTTTCCCAGTGGAAGCACAGAACACATCTGAGCTCTGAGTCCGTGAGGAGAAATGAGAGCGAGATGTGGACAGAAGTGACGCGTGCGGCGTCTGCGTCTAAACACCCGTCACATGTCAGATTATTCTTCAAATTATTCTTCAGATTATTCTTCAGATTATTGTTCGTATTGAATATTGAAGTAATTCTGTGTCAGGATTATGAATATGAATTATACACTTCCATGTGCACGTGTGAGATCAGACAGAACAGTCTCCGTGCGCATTGCACGTTTCAAATGCGCAAAACTCCGTCAGGACAAAGCACCGGGGTCTAACGTGAATCATTTGTTCAATTTAGTGATCAAATAATTCTATATTGACAATAATGATGCGCGTGCACGCTGGTTCCCGCGCAAAATGTGTCATTTGGTGAAATTCAGAGATTATTCTTGCCATAAACACGGTCACCTTTCTGCTTACCGCATTTTTCTTCATTTAATGATATGTGCTGTTTATGTCCTCTTTGCATAGCCCCAGTCACGTGGTCTTGTCTTAGCCAATAGCAGCTCGCCCTGAGCTCTGAGGCGCACGTCAGAGCAGCTCTACTCTCTGGGAAGCCCTATGTGCAGTTTTCAGTCTGAGGGCTTTTTAAAAAAGAGCCAGAAGCGCCGATGCGGGACGCCGTGCTATGACAACGTCACTGCTGCTCGGTCCGCGCTGGCTCGACCCGTCGCTCATGTTTCTCTACGAAAACGCCGCGGATGAAGTCAAGAACATGGAGGGTTTTGCTGGAGGCAACTTTACAGCGAATCAGTGCCGGAATCTGATGGCGCACCCCGCGTCCCTGGCTCCCAGCTCGGCGTATACGTCCAGTGACGTGCCCACGTCGGGCATGGGGGAACCGGTGAAGCAGTGTAGCCCCTGCTCCGCGGCTCAGAACTCCTCCAGCGCGTCTCTACCGTACGGCTACTTTGGCAGCAGCTACTACCCGTGCAGAATGTCGCATCACAGCAGCTTAAAGGCGTGCGGCGCGCAACCCCCTTCCGCGTACACGGACAAATACGTGGATTCTTCTGCGCCTGGAGACGACTTTCCCTCGCGAAAGGAGTTCGCCTTTTACCCCACGTACACTTCCGGACCCTACCAGCCCGTGCCCAGTTACTTGGACGTACCGGTCGTACCCGCCATCAGCGCACCGACCGAGGCCAGGCACGAGCCGCTGCTGCCCATGGACAGCTACCAACCGTGGGCCCTGAACGGCTGGAACGGACAAGTCTACTGCGCCAAGGAGCAGCCTCAGCCCGGGCACATGTGGAAGTCCTCGATACCCGGTAGGCCCGGTCACCTGTGGCCACTATGCTGTTCTTGTTCTTATGATTATTGTGTGAATACTCGTTACGCACGGGCAGTGTTACTGCAGCTGCAGCGTGCACACACAGCCTCAGCACACACACACACACACACACACACACATCACACACACACAGGCCTGTTACAAACACACATTCTCTCGTTATACATTATATTCACATTATGATCTACTTTATGGAGTTCTGTCGCAATTACACTGAGTCAGCGTCATGTTTATGACGAGTAATGCCACAGGAATGCCCCGCACTCAGGCACGGATGCTTTGTGCTATTGTGTAAAATATGAGTTATTAAATGCTCAATTATTTATCACTATCCACACAAACACACACACGAACACACACACAAGTCAGAATTTAAAATACCTTAATTTTAAAATTATTTTAGGGACAAATTATTTTTTTCTGAGTTTTATTTGACACGCGCCTCAAACTAGAAAAGGTCACGGCTTTTTCCTGCTCTTTATTCACTGTAAATATTTACAATTATTGTTTTTAAAATTATGAGCAAAATCACACAATTCAACAAATGCCTTTTTGAAACTGTGACATTTTATTGGCCTAAATTAGAAGAATTTAAAGTGAAAACCAGAGTCCCTCACGTGCGCGTGATCCAGGCCCACCTCATGTTTAATTTGTTCATTTGAATCTGATTAGAATGTGACACTCTGTGGTGTCTCTGTTTGTTGTGATGGAAACAGTGTTTGGGAGCTCTGTGTGTGTGTGTTTGTGCTGATGCCCTGGGCACTTGTTGAGGTCTCCACTAACAGCTGCTGCTCTTTGCCTCAGACGCGGTGTCTCATGTCGGCGGAGACTCGGGCTCGTACCGGAGAGGGAGGAAGAAGCGAGTGCCCTACACCAAAGTGCAACTGAAGGAGCTGGAGCGCGAATACGCCGCCAATAAGTTTATCACGAAGGACAAACGGAGACGGATATCTGCGCAGACCAACCTGTCCGAGCGCCAGGTGACCATCTGGTTCCAGAACAGGCGCGTAAAGGAGAAGAAAGTGGTGAACAAGCTGAAAACCATCAGCTAGTTCCCCGCGCCCGTGGACTATGTGGCCCGTGGATTTCTGACTGAACATCACGTTTGACTGCATCATTTCAGTGTTTGACTTTGGCCTTGGCTGTGTGTGATGGTGTAAAAGGATTCAGGTGGGAGCTACGTGTGACTTTAAGTCTCTGGCCGTCAGTCTCGTGGCGTGAGTTCGCCGAAGGTTTGCGCCACCGAACTACACTATTATCTGCCACTTTTAACGACGAGACGATAAAACAGCCACAGGAAATGACCTTTTAAGGAGTTGGACCTTGAGAATGTTAAATATTAATCCTTGTGGCTTCCTTTTATTCGCATATAGCTTGTATGAAGTTTATTATATGAACCCCTGCTCTTCGTTCATTCATTCATTGAAAATTGTGGTGCAATTATTATTCTACGCTTTAAAAGGATCTCCGGGCCTGCCCGGAGTGTCTTACAGCTTTCATTTTGTGTGCGCTTGCAGATGCTTGTACATAAAATCTCCGGCATGAAATCCGGGTTATTGTTGTTCCGGGTTATTGTGAGTAGAACATGTTGGTGTTAAAGTCCGTCCCAATAAAATATGGCCTTGGTTGAATTTTACCCACGTTATGATGTTATGAAGTTCTGACAAAAGAATCTTTATCATTTATCACATGACTGCAGCGCGTGGAGTTTATACTTGACCTCTAACCTTGGACACTTTTGGATTACACAAAGATGCAGTTTTAAGAAAATGGACCAAAGTTTTTACATTTATCTTATTCACTTTGCGCATAAAGGCCTGATCTGCGCTTTTGACGCTCACGTGTCTGGAGCCTTTACGCAAAAACACAAATATAAATGTGCCCACTGATTATGTCCTGCTCGGGGAATCCTGGCTTTGACGTATTGTCCAGAGAGCAGCTTTGGCCTGGACAAAGCCGGACGTGGAAACGTTCCAAGTTGAAAAGTGAGCTTTGGGCGCCATCTTGTGTTCAGTTTGGAGAAAACAGGTGACAGAGTCTAACTAAAATTTAAAGCACACACAACATTTAATGTCGTGAACTACATGTATACAATCCTTTTTAATTTTAGTAATTATGATTTTTTTCCACAAATGTAATATTTTTGATTAATATTAATTAAGTCTGATAGAGTCTGTGCTTGTGAAATCTCTGTGCGTAAACTGCGTCAGATGGAATAAGCTGTAAACTCCCTCCAAAGAATCTTCTGAGCGGCACGGAAATGTTTCAGAGATTTTATTTAATATTTTTATATAAAATTCAGTGTAGCATGGTGTCTGTTCAGAGTCATATTTTAATGAGATTAAAACTCTTAAAAGTCTAAGTGAGAGATAAAGTGACTTGTACACACAGGCCCCGCGTGAGCAGTGCGGACGTGCTCCGCTCTGTGCTGCCTCATGGAGCTGGAATATTATTACTATATAGATTATATAAATATATATAATATATATATATACACACACCCACGTGCGTTTATACACGCCAAGAAGTGGAAACCCACGGCGCGAGCCGAGTCCAAACCCCGCTGTATTTTCACTGTTGTGGTTTAATCTGAGGCCCACACAAACACAAAATAATCATTATAAATGAATCTGACTGAATAACAAAGTAAACTGTAAATCCATGTTTATCAGCCTGTGTCAGTTTTTATTTTGTCCTGAACATTCAAATACATCAGTTTTTATTTACGCGCTGAATGTGCGTAAAAACTCAAATAACGCGCGAGTCTCACGTTTATATTTTTCGTATGAAAATATAATATCACAATATTATTTCATATTATTATAAAATATATAACCACAATATTATAATATATAAATAACATTATAATCATGAGTGAAGCACTGATGAAAACAAAACCACAAAACATGATTCAGATCGTGTTACACTGATCTAACGCGCCACATACAGCTGTTCCAAAATTTAAAGAAAAAATAAACAAATTAATAATAATAGTAAAACAATAGATACATATAAATATTATATTTAAAATATCTGCTGTGAGGGCGCAGTGCATTCTTCAGTTCTTGGTGTTTTTCAAACATGTAGGTCATGTTTCTGCACCAGGACTGTGGACGTGCTGCATTTATCTGAAAATAATCTTCCACTGCCTTAATGTTTTGTTTTTTGTTTTTCCCCCAAATACTCCATATATTCCATAACAAAGTATTTGTATTATTAGTTAGGATAAAACCAGGGGCAATTATCAAAGCAGCGTGTGTGCGTAAAAAGGCCTCGAACAAAACACACGGTTTAGTGACTGTTGCGCGCGGCTCCTTCTTTGTCTTTGTAAACATGAAATTACCCCAAACAGCCCAAACAGCCCCAACAGCCCAAACACTCAGGAGAGAAGTGAGAGATATGATGGCACTTTCTCCAAAGCCCTTTCGCCCTGACTCACCTCCTCTGCCCCGTGAGCCGTGTTTCCTCTCGCTCTGAGGACTCGTGCCAAACTAACTGTGTTCTATCTGTCGAGAAACCGCGATGCTTCATTTTGTAACAAATCTTCATGAGCCTGGAGCGTGTTTTTCAGTGACACGGCCTTGTGTTTACTTTGGCTCCTCCGCGTATGAATCATGCGTAAAACAACTCCGCGGATGAGCCCGGTGTTACCTGACGACAACCTGCGCTTATAGCAACAACATTCACACCATTTATTCTTCAGATCTGCGCGAGAATTCACTTTTTTTTAACACTGAATTCTCACCCTAGACATGAGCTCTGTCATCCATGTGTGAGTGTGATTCATGGAACGGTGCCAGGGTCGTTTTTCGTTGTTGGGTTTGGAGTAAACGAAAGCGCCTATCATCGCTCCTCTTGCGGCTTATATCATTCTTAGACCACACAAAACGTATAAAAGCGCGGAGCAGTCGCAGCAGTCTGAGAGGAGAGAGCCGCGGTGGTTAGCTCTGGGGCTAACGCTGCAGCAGCCATTTTCCCACGCCCTCTGACGCAAGAGCTGGGGGCACGCACGGCTGACGCAACGCCGTGCTCGCAGATAGGATCAAAAACAGATGTGCGCCTGCTCCCTGCTCTAATGCCGACGCGATTTGATTTATTTATTCTTTTTCTCGTTTCCAGAGTGCAAGAACGAGCTCACATTTCAACAGCAGCGTTAATTAATAATCGTGTAATAAGGTTTAGTAACAAGATTTTCGTTTATTTCGTGTCTTCGTGGAGAAATTTGTTGTGTTTGGAGCTTTAACGTAGCACACAGACGTGACACAACAAAAGAAACAAAGAAAAACGTGTAGAAATGGACAATAAACAGTCACTCAGGCTTCACATATTTGCAAAATTAGTCCGTGTTGTTGCTTTATTTCATGGATTGGGTTAAGAGCGAGTTTTTAAACCGGTTGTTTTTGCAAAAAGGAACCGTGTTTGTGTTCCCAGAATCTGAGGATCTTTAGAATCTGTCTCACAACTGTTCAGAGATCTGTGGGAGGTCTGTGGAGCAGTCACAGTGGACACCTCCGTCTCTTAGTCTGAGGTAGGGCGACCAGACGTTTCTTTGTCCAAGCGGATTTATCCAAAACCACAAATTTGTCCCAGTTTTATCCAAGAAATGTCTCTATTTTTAATCAATTTAACCCCAGCAAGCAGTAAAGAGATATACAAACTGTCATTTGTTTAGATAAAATACAAAAAAGCTGCTTAAAATGGCCAAAACATGAAGAAAATGTGACTGTACTGACTCATGTTAGGCATGAATGGGCTGAGGTAGGGTGACCAGACGTCTCTTTGTCCCAGCAGATTTATCCAAAACCACTGATTTGTTCCATTTTTATCCAAGAAATGTCTCTATTTTTAACCAATTTAACCCCTGACTGCAGTAAAGAGACACATACACTGTCATTTGTTTGGATAAAACACAAAAATGTTGCTTAAAAATGACCAAAACACAAAGAAAATACTGACTCATCTTAGACATAAATTGAACCGAATTCAGAACTGTTTTCCTTAATTACTCACTTGTTTCACTATTTTCTTATCACCAACCACTACAAAAGGAGTGTCCCAGTTTTTTATTTGAGATAAAATACAAAAAATCAGCTTAAAAATGACCAAAACATGAAGAAAATGTGACTGTAGTGACTGATGTTTTTTGTGAATGGGCTGAGGTAGTTTGACCAGACGTCCCTTTGTCCCAGCGGATTTATCCAAATCACTGATTTGTCCCAGTTTTATACAATAAATGTCTCTTGTGCCTCTATTTTTAACCAATTTAATCTCTGCAAACAGTAAAGATACACATAAACTGTCATTTGTTTAGATAAAATACAGAAAAGCTGCTTAAAAAACGACCAAAACACGTAGAAAATGTGACTATACTGACTCATATTCGTCATAAATGGACCGAATTCAGAACTGTTCTCCTTAATTACTCACTCGTTTCACTATTTTGTTATCACCAACCAATACAAAAGGAGTGTCCCAGTTTTTAATTTGAGATAAAATACAAAAAAATCAGCTTAAAAATGACCAAAACATGAAGAAAATGTGACTATAGTGACTGATGTTTTTTGTGAATGGGCTGAGGTAGTTTGACCAGACGTTCCTTTGTCCCAAAAGATTTAACCAAAACCATTAATTTGTCCCAGTTTTATCTAAGAAATGTCTCTATTTTTAATCAATTTAATCCCTGAGTAAAAATACACATACATTGTCATTTGTTTGGATACAATACAAAAAAGCTGCTTAAAAATAACCAAAACACAAAAAAAAGTGACTATACTGACTCATGTCTTTCATGAATGTGCTAAGGTAGGGCGACCAGACGTTCCTTTGTCCCAAAAGATTTAACCAAAACCACTAATTTGTCCCAGTTTTATGCAAGAAATGTCCCTTGTGTCTCTGTTTTTAACCAATTTAATCCCTGCCAACAGTAAAGAGACACATAAACTGTAATTTGTTTAGATAAAATACAGAAATGCTGCATAAAAACGACCAAAACACAAACTGACCCATATTAGTCATAAATGGACCGAATTACACAACTATTTTTCAAAATTACTCACTCGTTTTACAGTTTTCTTATCACCAACTACTACAAAAGGAGTGTCCCAGTTTTTTATTTGAGATAAAATACAAAAAATCAACTTAAATATGACCAAAACACAAAGCAAATGTGACGAAACTGACTCATGTTTTTTGTGAGTGGGGTGAGGTAGTTTGAACAGACGTTCCTTTGTCCCAAAAGATTTAACCAAAACCACTAATTTGTCCCATTTTTATAGAAGAAATGTCCTTTCTGTTTCTATTTTTAACCAATTTAACCCCTGCAAACAGTAAAGAAACACAATCATTGTCATTTGTTTAGATAAAATACAGAAAATCATCTTAAAAACGACCAAAACATGAAGAAAATGTGACTATACTGACTTATATTAGTCATAAATGGACCGAATTACACAACTATTTTCCTAAATTACTCACTCGTTTTACAGTTTTCTTATCACCAACTACTACAAAAGGAGTGTCCCAGTTATTTATATTAGATAAAATACATAACAAATCAGCTTAAATATGACCAAAACACAAAGAAAATGTGACGAAACTGACCCATATTAGTC